CCTCTGAGCTCTCTGGGGCAGCACCTCCTAGCTTGCCAGGATGTCTTCCCACCACACATGCCCCTTTCCCACATGACACATTTGACTGACTTTATTATATTTACTATGGTTGCTGTTTCTTGGCACTTTCCTCTACTGGTGTATGACTTTGTGTGATTGGGAATGTGACTCATTCACTGACATGCAGTCTGCAGACTGCCTTTTGTTACTGGTGCCTAACAAGATTAGTAAGTTCAGAGTGACCTAGTTTAGAGGAAGAAATTTAGACAAGTTGAGATCAATTTGATATTGGCACAACATCCAAGTGTGTGATTGCTTTTCTAGTAATTTAGTGAGGGATTGTTTTCCTAGTGATCTGTTTTATTAATTTCACAAAACTATCAAACTACCAGTTGAAAAACAATCTATTGGGGATGGGGAAAAAAACAAAAACAACAACAAAAACCCTGGTCTTTCAAAATAATTTGAGAACTGGTGGTCCAGGACAGTTTCTGGCATGTGGAAAATGTTAATAGTAATTTTTGAATAAACAGGTGAATAAAGAAAAGAACAAACACCTGTCAAACCGTGTTTACATAGTAAGAAATCAGTTCAGTTTTGTATATATTCCCGTGAATCCTATGACATATTTCACCAGTTGGATTAATGACAAAGTGATTCGGATCTGTCACTTCCTGGGTATGCTGTGCCCTTCTACTGGAGACTGAACCAGGACACATGGGCCAGTTGGGGACAATTCTTAGACTCTTTAGCTCAGGACTTTGTCCAAGTCCCATATTTACAGGCAGCTACAGCAGAGCTCCAGACCGAAACTTTTGATTTCTTCCCTGCCCTTCGTCCACCAGACCCTTACTAGAACAGGGATATCAGTCCCCCTCTGAGTCACAGGGCAAGACTGCTGGAAGTTGCTATTTCCTTAAACATTGTAAAGGTCACAGTATTTTCATTTGGCCTTCCACAAAACAGGTGAAATAATGGGTCATCTATGACAAAGAACTAAATATAGGTATACTATGCTAAAATGTCTCCTGAAGATGTTCTCTTGTTTCTATAACAGATAATTTTAACAAAATTGGAAAAACTTTGTTCTTCGTCTTTGTTGATTTCTAAGGTCAAGGGAAATTTGACTCACGCACTGTGTTTTTTCTGCCTAAATTTTCTTCTTGCCTTCCCTCTTCTGAAAACAATAGCAGCAGAGCAAAACCACCTGGGGCATTTCAACCTGTTCTGCTAGTATACTTGTATTAGCTACAATGTGGTCTCATTGTTGTGACCACATACCCGAAGCAAGCAACTTAAGGAAGGAAGGGTTTCTTTTGGCTCAGTTTGAAGGTCAGTTCTATGGGCCTGGGAAGGCATGGTGGAGTGTGGGTTGGCTGGTCACATTGTATTCACAGTCTAGAAGCAGAAAGATGTGAGTGCTCGTGGTCAGCTTACCCTCTCCATTTATTTAGCCCCAGTCCATGGAATGGTATTGTCCATATTCAAGGTAGATCTTCTCTCTTCTGCTGAACCTTTCTGGAAATGCAGTCATAGACAGACCCAGAGGTGTGTTGGCATGGTGACTCTAAATCCAGTCAAGTTGACAAGGCACATTAATCGTCACAAGGTTATATCTAAGCACCAGGAGACTTTATCTTTGTTCTGAGATGATTAGATTTACTCTTAGCCTTTTATAGGTCTTGTTTACTTAAGCAGAGTTTCATTTCCTTCTTGTTTCCATTATATTTCACATTGGCTTTGGATGTTCAAGAATTCAGTTCAGGAACTTGTCTAGGGGGCTTAGGATGTGGCTCAGTGGTAAAGCCTAGGCAAGTGTAAAGTCCAGGTTTGATACTCAGCATCCATTAATGCCAAGATCCCAGAGAGTTTAAAATCTATTACATGGAAGGAACTACAACATAAGGCAAGATGAGATGAATACTATGTGCAAAGTCAAAGGGCACAAAATAGGGCATCATTGTGGACCATGAGGAATATAGAGGATTCTGACAAGTGGAGTAGAGGGGACAGCATGAACAAAGCCATCAAAGAGGGAAAGAATATACGAGGCATGCCCACAGAGTAGAGAATAGTTTACAGATTTTGAACCACAGAATGAGAAAGAGGCATCAAGTGACAGTTAGAACTGAAAACGAAGCCAATGACCATCAAGAGTTGATGCTGGGATGCTGGGGAGTCACTGAAGCACATGGAGGAAGGGAATGTCATGATCAGGCTCTGTGCATAAGAAGAATTGAAAGAGAAAAAAAGAGATGAGGAAACCCCTTAGGATGGATGCCACTTTATAACATAAGAAAGTAATGGTGATGGTGATACTCAAGTCATAGGTGTTAAGATCAGAAGGGACGGCTGTGGAAAAGTAGATAAAAGCCATTTATGAAAGTCAAATTTTTACCTTATTAGTAAGTTTGAATTTTGGGGAATATATTTCTAAAGACTGGAATTGCTACCTCAACAAGTCTCTTTTTTCCTCCACTGCTGTTAATTCACGGTGTAATTTCTGCTTACCGCTTTTGAACTACTCCACCGAAGCTTGGTGCCTTACAATGAGAACTTTGTTTCTCTCCCAGTTATTCACACTCAAAGATTAACTTTGAAGAATAGAATATCAATAACAAATCTACAGCCTTACTGTGAGCCAGGATTTGTGCAGTGCCCTTCACTTGCACTAGCCCATTGGTCCTCAGTACACCCCTCCAAGACATGAACCACCGTTCCCCCAAGCGTCCACATGTAGATACTGAAGTAAAGAGTTGTTCTGTGTGACGTTAACTTTGATGGCCACTGTGAGTGGATTAAGAGACGCACAGGGTCTGTCTATGATAGAAATAGAACTTTCTAGAATCAATCCTAGCTCTATTCCATTGACAGTTCTATAATTACTCCAAGTTTCAGTTTCTTTATCTGC